TGTGCTTGGTCTTGGGCTTGGGCGGCTCGAACGGGCACGTCAGGATCGCAATCTTGGCGTCCTTGATCTCCTTGGGCATCTGCGGGTGCGAGAAGTCCTTGTCGATAACCACGCCGTGCACCAGCGCTGTGTCGGCCATCTCTCCGCCAACCTTGCCCTCCATCTTGATCAGCTCGAAATCGACATCCTTGCGGTCCAGATCGGCAACCGACAGGATGGCGTCCACCGCGATCTGCGCAAACTGGTCATGGCACTTGTTCACAATCTTGCTGCCTAGGCTAGTCTTTGCGCACTTGAACAGATCAGACGTGTCGTCCTTGCTCCACGGAATGACGTCCGACACCTCGTCCAGATGTGCAACCGCAATCTTGCACGCCTTCTCAAACCCGTCGGAAATGCGAATCGGGTGGATGCCGCGGTCCAGCAGCTCCTCAGCCTGCTCCAGCAGCGCGCCGGCCAGAACCACAATGCCGGTCGTTCCGTCACCGATCTCGTCGTCCTGCGACTTGGACAGCTCGACAAGGAGCTTGCCAATCTGATTCTCCACCGCCATCTGCGACATAATCGTGGCTCCGTCGTTCGAGATAGTGATGTCGCCGTCCGGAGAAATCAGGATCTTGTCCAGGCCACGCGGTCCGAGCGATGTGCGAACAATGTTGGCGACGGTCTTTGCCGCCATGATGTGCGACTACAGAACAGGCGCGTGTTGTTAGCATACAGGTCACACAGTAACCAGAACGAGGGCACCCCCACATACACACGCGTCTACCAGCAAATAAACCAACTGTTTACCTTGGTCGCCTCAATGCCCGTCTTGCGCGACTTCTTGTCCTGCTCGCGGACAATAATGAACGGTCTGCCGTACTCGTCAGTCGTGTAAATGGCGCTCATCGTCACACTGATTCGAATTAGCTTTGGAAAAGGGTGTGCGGGAAACGTAAAATGAAGAGGAAAACACAAACACCAGAAAGCTTCGGCTGACTTCTAATGCAGATCAAGCCCCTGCCAGCAGCCAGATCACCGATCACCACCAATTATTATTTTTTTCGCTAGAAATCGGGCAAGGAAAAATTCAGCTTTTTTTTTTTTTTTTTTCGTTCTACACCACCACTGCCTTTCTACCACCCAATTAACATACAGCAATGTCGACGGAGACCGAGCTCAGGAGGAACAACTACGGATCGCTGATCTTCTGCCCGACGTGCGGCAACCTGCTCGACAACCCGGGCGACCAAGACCACATTGTGTGCCACGCGTGCGGTGACGCCCAGCAAGGCACAAAGTTCGAGGGCATCGAGACTGTGTCGCGGTCCCAGGACAGTGCGTTCCCGTCAGCTCTGAAGAACAAGCGGTCGCTGGTGCAGGGCGTTGCGTCGGCAGACCGTGTCGACGCCACCGTCGAGGAGACATGTCCAGAGTGCGGCAGTGACGAGATGAGCTTCTACACCATGCAGATGCGCTCGGCGGATGAAGGCCAGACCGTGTTCTACAAGTGTACCAAGTGCGGCTATGGCTTCTCGCTCAAGAACTAAACACCCATGTAAACCTTTTTATGCTCTCAGAAATACACAATCTCCACTTCTGTGCTGATGAAACACGCACCTGGGTCCAGGATGCGCCCAACTGGGGGTCATCCCACCAGCGTAATCTGAAATCGGCCGCCTTTGCGATTAGAGATCGGCCAGCTGCCGAAATCATCGAGCAAAAGTGTGCCTCCACCAACTGTGGGGCGGTTATCTTTTTCCTCTTGCTCCTGTCTCTCGCCCACTTTGTTTCTGCTCCCTGCCCAATTTCCACGCCCTCTGCGTTCTAGCGTCTCTCTGCCAAATTCGCCCGTTGTCGTCGTCGTCCAACTACTGACAAGCCATGGTCAAGTTTTACCAGCAGAAATATGCTTACGAGTAAGTGTCTGGCCGATGCGCAAGCATCCCACTCCTCCTGGCCAGCGGCTACAGTTTTGCTAACACCGGCCACCCTTTTGTAGCTACTCGTGGGGAACAGTGTCCTTTGCGTTCATGAACCGCTATCCGAACCCGTTCGCCACGCATGTGCTGACAGCCGACACGATTGACCACCGAATTGACGCAAAAACCGGCGAGCTCCATATTGTGCGGCTGCTCCGCAAAACCAACTCTGTGCCACGCTGGGCCAAGGGCATAATGCGCGGCAACGAGGCGTATATCCTGGAGGAAATCGTGGTGGACGCCCAGGGCAACAGAATGGTGGCCAAAACCCGCAACATCACGCACACACGCCTGATGAAGGTCGAGGAGAAGCAGACGCTCTGTGCCGATCCGGCCGACAATTCGCGCACGCTGTGCAAGAACGAGACGAGCATCCTGTCGAACATCGGGTATGGCCTGAACTCCAAGATTGAGAACTTTAGTCTCTCGCGATTCTCGGACAATATCGCCAAAAGCCGCAAGGGAATGCTGTACGTGCTCGATCTGGCTCACCGTAAGGGGCTGATTCGGGCCCGTGTCATCGCCGATAAGCAGGAACAGTGAAAAAAAGTGCGGGATGGGAAAAATTATGTGCTGACACCGCCGCGCAGCCGCCGTGCCCCTTTGTATTTTAGTATCTCGAACCACACCCCTCGCCCCGCTCCGGTCTCCTGTTTTTTGCTCTCTTCGCTCTTTGCCGAAGAAATGTGCACTGGTAATGGCTCTCCCACGGGGAGCCCAAAAGTGAATAAATGGACTGCCATCCTCATGGCGGTAAACGATTCTTTCGCTGCACTGCTGTTCTCAACTGCCCATGTATGCTGCATATCAGGCGCAGTCGATTGAGTGACATTATTCAAAGTGGATATCTGATGTAAAACATGTGTATGTGTGTGCTGAGGAGCCGATATACCTACTATGCGACCAGGATAGATATGAGACAAGTACTGCCATAGATGGCGTTGGGCCAGGGCTGCGTTGACAAGGATTAGCATGCATATGATAGCTGTGGGTAGTCAATTATTGTCAAGAGAATCTGCATTTCTTTTCCACTCCTTATCATTGGCACTTCTCACACTAATGGCGACCTGGGCCACGTCGAGGCCATTTATACTTAAGCGTGTTGCTGCCATATATAGACAAACTATCAGGTTGAACATCCCAAATGATATTGATGGTTATATTTTATATTTGCGGCTGAACCAAGTATGCCAGTACCGGAAGGGCACTATATAGGAGAGCCCCTACACAACTGCAGTCATGCTATGCCATGAATCCACCGCTGAGCAGCAGCTTCAATACGGAAGCACGGTCGATTCAGACCAGTTCGCATCCAGGGGCATATACCTTTTTACGTCATCGCCATGCCCAGTTTTATGGAGAGTAAATACTCCGCATATTGTGAATAGGGGATTCAGCTACATCACAGGGGAGCTGCCCATCTCGCCTCGCGGCTGCAACATCGATTTTCCTGCCCTAGGCAGCATATTGGAGGCTTTCTCGTTCGGTTCCGGTAGGTGGGTTTCTTTGAAGGGGCTATGTTCATTTACAACGCACCTGGTATAGAGCAGGACTTTGGCACCACTCTTCTTACTACAGATAATTTAAACACGGCCGCCAAAGACTTCTGACTACCTCCTTAGGCACATCCCTCATGTGGCATATTTGAGATATATACCGAAGCTGGATTCAAAGAAAAATCCCCAGATTTCTCTCTGCGAGCCGTTAGACTTTTACCTGCCATGTCTGCAGACAATCTATTTGCTGTATGTCCGACTCCCTGCACTCGAGCACATATCTTCCGCAATCTCTCATTCAGCTGTTGCTACGCTGGGAGGTTTCACTGTGGAAGAGGTAAATATGTGACGATGTGCCGAGTTTATTGCAAAAGATGTCTTTAGTCAACCATTTGCAGCTCGCCACTGCAGAAACAAGCACTCCAACAAGTCTACCAATTCCACTTCCCGATGTTGTTCTATAGGCCACATTAGAAAAACTTTTTGCTCAGTTCCTGGTTTGCCTCTCCAATCTCGTCAATATTCGCTCTCAGCTTCTCCATCTGCGTTGGCTGTCTGTTGGGCCTATATACAGTGCTGAAGACGGTTTGGTCAGTATAGAGACTCTCCACAACTGGAATGGTGCACTTGCACAGCTTGTTTTGTTCTCGGGCACTGTCTATGCCCCGATGATTCCTTCTCTTGACGCAATGTGCACCTTGGTATCAGGCTTGCCTTTCCCTCCCCAAGCTGGCCGTTCTATATGGTATGCTACCCACAGCAAAGGACACATTTTCGGAACGCGGTATTCCGGGCGACCCTAGCCAAACAAGGCTCGAAGTTGCTGAGTATATTCCACAAAGAAAAGGTAGAATATACCTTCGCCACAGGATTCCTTATATTGGTAGCACCGATAGCTAGCCTACATGGGTGGTCAATGCAATTTCATGCCGAATTCTCCATATACGTGTACCCAGGATGTGCGACAGGAGCTGCAGAGTGGTTGTGCACACAATCAAAGAGCCGTGCAAGGCTCACTGGCCAGCTCGCAGTAGAGTAAACAAAAAACTATGCGCCTCTGGTCGATCGGGCCAGAAGATGAAAACACGGCGCGCCTACGGCTCTGCCATTCCTTTTTTCGCCTCTATTTACGCGACTTTGTATACCTTTCTGCTACTAACTTTTCCTAGCGTGCCACTTTCTTCGCTCCGTGCACGACGCGTCAAAGTTTTTTCTTTGGGCTTGAAATCACCAACCGCGCAGACAGGGGCTACTTGGTTCGATTTGTTTTGTAAATACTTTCTTTTGGCTAATTAGCGAGTCGCTCTTCTCTTATGAGCCAGCAAACGCCGCTACGGACCCAGCAAAAAAAATTTCTACCAGCGGCTAGAAGGGCAGCGCAATTCGTCGACAGAGAAGAAAAAGGCCGGGGAGCAAACACGAGTGCAGGTTCCTTTCTTTGCCAACTCGACCTCCGTTAATATCGCCACAGCGTTCGCGCGCGCCACCATTACTTCGGACACAATTTAAGCAGCGGCCGAAGCATTTGCAGGGCATGCCAATGTCACCTTCACAGATTCCGCGCATGAGCTTCGACGACCCGCACTTCGAGAAGCTGCCGCCTGCAGGGATGCACGCGCGTGGCAGTGTGCGGCCCGTACGCGACATTACATCAAAGCTGTCGGCTGCGGGCGCACCAAATTACAGCCGATTCGAGGACCAGGAGAATTTCTTGCGACCGCCGGGCAGCTCAGCGCTCGGTAGGATGGGATTTTGGGCGCGATCAAGCGTCGGCAGAGGACAGACAGCAGCCGGCGTGGTTAAGGCGTGCCAAAGACCGGACGGGACTCACGCCGTTTGGGGGCGGCGCGTCGCAGGACCCGTTTGCAGAATCGCCGTCGCTGCCGCCCGGCAAACCCGACATGGCCAGCTTCAACGAGACGCGTATGACCAGTGAATTTGGAAACAGCTTTCTGGACGGCCGCAAACACGTACGGCGGTGGGCATGGGGCCAGGTTCGACGAGTCGTTCTTTGACGAAGGCATACTTTGGAAACAATGACCCGGTCAGGCCTACGTATGGCGGCGGACCGGAGCAACTGCGGTCCATTAGCATCAGCGATGATGATATTGGCAAGGGTGGCGGCCACAGGGCTGGCGGAGGTGCGTTTGGCCGGAGTGGCAACATTGGCTATTCGTACAATCCGACTGGACGATCTTCGGCGACCTACGGAGGGATCGGTGATGACGAGGGAATCATGGACACTGGCCGTACCAGCTACACAAACGTCCAATGACCCTACAACTACAGCGGCAGCACGTACGGCGGCGACCGGTTCCACCCATCCGGCCGTTGGCAAACGAAAGCACTAACCGCGCTGCTGGCACGGCGTCTCGGCTCTCGATGCGCACACGGTACACAACGGCCTGGCGGTGGCGCGTATGACCCGGATCTCGACTTTTGGCACAAGCGCATACCGGACAGCGTGCTGCTAGCAACTACGGCGAGGGCACACGCAGCTACGGCCCTACACCATTCACAGCACGTATTAACGGCCGGGTGCGTTTCCACCTACAGCAAAGCGATTCTCGCAGCAGCGCAATAGCAACAGCCACAAATGTGGGCGATGGCCCAGCAGTATCGCCGACAAACCCGCGGCCAAAGCTCAATGCTGCCCGTAATAGTCGCACAGCCAGCGATCTGCTAGCAGCTCACAGTATCTGGGTGTTGGCAAAAAAGCACAGCGTGGGTGGGACGGCTACCTGCAGCGAGATGACCAACGCACGGTGCGTACGTTCAGCGATAGCTTTGTCAGCAATTCGTCCAATGACTTGCACGACCTGGGCAGCAACGGAATTAACCACGACAACCCAACGCTGCTGAAGCGGCTGTTCCGCAACATCCTGGCCAGCTGGGGTGGGTCGACAGGGACTACGACCGAGCGCGTGTCGTTTGCCTTCTTTATAGTCTACTATCTGATCAAGGAGACGGTGATACTGATCGTGTCGTTTGCCACCAAGCTGCTATTCAGGATCATCATCGGCACGATCTACAGCGGCACGCGCGAAGCCATCTTGCTGCCGCTGTCGCTGTGGCGGCTGATTGCCCCGGCGAGTACCGCGATTCAGCGCGCACCATGACCGGGATCCTGACAGGCCTTGCTATGGTTGCGTTTTCTATCATTGCTAGTCAGTACGCCCAGCCGTTGCTCTCCAGCCTTCCGTCGCTACCACATATGCTGTCCCCTGGCCGTCTATTTGGCGGAATGCGTTCACCTACGCCTAGCAAGCGCCCGATCACAATGCCGCCGCTGACAGACAGCAGGCCTGTGGATCCCAACGGACACAGTTCGGCCATTACCGAGCGGCTGGCAGATGTGGAGCAGACACTGAGGCACCTGTACAGTTTGCTGGATACGCTGAAGACCATCGCGAAGAAGAGCAGCAGGATGTGTTTGACTCGTTGGAGAAGCTCGAGCGCGAGAAGCAGCAGCTGATGTCTGAGCACCAGGACGAGAAGAAGCGGATTGCAGACCTGGAGAGGAGCTATGCTTCGCTGAAGCACGACATGCAGTCTCAGACATCCAAGGCCGCAGGCGGCAGCGGTGTCTCTGCCAAGGAAATGCAGAGCATCAAGCGCCAGGTGGAAAGGCTCGCGCGGGATATTGCCAGTGCGCAGGCCGAGGCGGTGCGGCAGAGCAAATCGCACGACAAGCAGCTCAAGGAATACAACTCGAAGCTGGACAATGTCTCTGCATCGGCGCAGAAGCTGGTCGAGCAGGCAAAGAGGGCGCTTGAGGATAAAATTTCCAACTGCAGGCGGCCGCAGGGTCGTGAGTAGCGGCGGCGGCGGCAGCGTGAGCCTGCGTGAAGTGCGTGAGCTGGTTGATGCTGCTATCCGCGAGCAGGAGAAGGAGCTGCGGGAGCTGCTCAAGCCCGAATGGCTCGAGACCGATGGCGACGTAGCGTACGACAATGTGGCTCGTATGATTGAAGGCGCGCTGAACCGGTACGCCAACGACCGTGTGGGCAAGACGGACTTTGCGCTGTTCTCGGCTGGATCGCGCATCATTCCTAGCCTGACATCGCAGACGTACGAGGCAACGCCACGCGGGCTGTTCCAGAAGGCGCTGCGTGCAATCGGCATGACGTCGTCGCAGCCGCCCACGGCTATAATCGATCCGAACACGCATGTGGGCGAGTGCTGGCCGATGCGCGGACCGTCGGGCCAGGTGGCCCTGCACCTGGGCCAGGTTGTGGATGTGGCCGATTTGGGCTGGAGCATGTGGCCAAGAGCGTGGCCATTGACTGGCGCAGCGCCCCGCGCAGCATTGAGATTTGGGGCTACGTGCTTGGCCAGGCTGCGCCGGCTGCAGCCTCCGACAACTCGGCGTTCGACATTTACCCGGAAGATTTTGCCGACGACAGTGATGAGCCGGCCGATGATGGCGCTGCCGCCCCGCATTCCACAGCTGCAGCCGAGTTCAGTGGCATGCCAATACCGCCGCTGGCCGACAGCAGCTCCGACTATGGCATCGGCGAACTCAAACTGCTGACCACCTACGAATACGAGCCGTCGGATG